CTGTCAAAAAACAAGCTGTTCCCTGGATTATTTTACCGAGTTTATTACCAAATGACCTGGAGGAGCACAGGGGGAGTAGGTTATTTGTTTATCCACTTAAATTCATATTTTTTCCCCCTTTGTGTGTATGTGTTTGTGTGTGTGAGTGTCTGTTTTACTGTTTTTTTTATTTTATTTTAGAATTGTGGCCCAAGTGGGGGGCAGGTGGATACTGGGGTTGACATTTGGCTGTATTGTCATGATTATCTTTCACCGTATTTTACATCACTGAATGGGGTATGTGTATTAACGTTAAAATGTTCATTAAATAAAGTTGGTTAAAAATAAAAAAAATTAAAGACAAGCTGTTTTTTGCCTCAACATCTCCAATATACTTACCGGCACACACATTAGCATCTAGACTCACTTTTTGGCAGAGAATCGTTTACAAAGACTTCGGAGTGTGCCATTTCCAAACTGGTCTGACCTCCCTTATGCCATATTTTGGAATCAGGTTTTCTCCTAGTCTGTTTTAGTTGAGTTGTTCTTGTTTTTTGCATTACATTTTTTGATTTTGTTAAACACAGTGCAAGACTTCATTTAACTTTTAATTTGATAAATGTATGAATTGCAAAAGTATGTTTTCTGTGGCATCTAGCTCAAACCCCGGGACCCACGGGTGCCTCAAGGTTTCATTATTCTCTTTGGCTGCTGTTTGTTTTAAGTGCTCATAAACACATAACCAACAGCATGATTCTAATTACATGTCGGCGATTCAGGCAGGAATGTTTCTGAATAGAGTGAAGGAGCTTACACACTTCGCAAACCACAACTACACTAATGTTGTGTCTAGAGACAACAAGCCAAAGACATAACTGACTTTGGCTTCTACACAAAGAGTCCAGGTGGCTGCATGTTTCATCATATCAAGATACACGGGCAACAAACACTGTTCAATGGCCACAAGAGGGACATAATGCAGAAATAAACCAGATGTAAGTTCGGAACCAGGATTGGTGAAATTTCTGCACACAAAAAACACATTAAAGGTGCCATGTTACATTTTTGTCTCTCCTTTCTCTGGTTTAAATGAGAAAAGTCAAAATATTAGCTCGAGGCAGTTAGTTCTGGCAACCTTGATCACAGGCTTTCTATTTGGTAAAATGGTGGAGGGTGGGACATCGAAATGAAAATAATAACAAGATCCAATTTTAGGCTGAACTACTGTTAAAAGTTAAGGAAGTATTCATTATTGCCTTTTGACATATTAGGGCCATTTAATGATGGCTTGACATGCAAATCTAACATACTGCTACTTTAACAAAACCGAACACAAAGAATAAAAATAGAAAAAACAGACTAGACCAAAGTAATTCACCCAAAATGTTTCCAACTGGTTTCATTTGGAAACAAAATGTTTCATTTGTTTCATTTACGGGGTGACAGTAGCTCAGTTGGTAGAGCATTGGCCTTTGGGCCTGAAGGTCGTGGGTTTGAGCCCACAGTAAGACCTACTTCACGACTCCCACTGATGACTGCTGTCGTTGTGTCCTTGGGCAAGACACTTAACCCCACTTTGCCTGAAGCCCCCACTGAAAGATCTCAGCTCCTGTGGACTCACCACCTGCAGGAGGATCAGTGAGGGGCTGGTGCTCGGTGTACTGGGTGCAGCTCTGACTGCCACCCCCCCGACCCAGAAATGGATTAAGGGGAAGAAAATGGATGGATGGATGTTTCCAACTGAAAACTTTTAACAGTATGCAGCGCGGCTTTGGTCTCTTCATTATTGCTTTAAATATGGAGAAGGATTCAGTCATTGCAAATCTCCAATTAGCCTTTTCGTCAAGTGGCTCTTTGGATGTAAAAAAAAAGAAAAGTGCTGACATGAAATATGAGTCTGTGGAAACTGGAGAAGAAGAATATTATGAGAGAGAGAGAGCAGCTGTTGCCACTGTGGGCATTAAGAAAATATAGGCTCAGGAGGAACAGCTGAGATGGCAAACAATCACAAGGAATGTAAAGCAATAGGCCACACGATCCAGAGCCTTAATCTTTCATCTTAACAGAGAATGTGTTCAGGACAAATGTATCTTTACCACTAGTATTATCAGAAACCTAGCCTGGCCTTAGCCATTCGTACACTCTGCTCTATCATCGTTTCACTGCATGTAACGTCCAGGTCTGGTCCCTGTGTTTCTGATTACAATAGGTTGAACTCCATCTAACCAATCAGCGAGCGAGGGAGGAGGGTGTTGTAGTTAGATGTGGGTGACGTCAAGAGTTTGCGTCGAACGGGCAGGTTGTAGTTTGGCAATGCCGACAAATCCAATAGTAAAGTAATCCGGTCTGGTTCTATGAAGAAATTGAAGCCGGAGCAAGAGGAATGTTTAGCAAATGTAATCGCTGGCAAAGAATGTGGCGCTTCTCCCCACGGGCTCCGTTAGCGAAAAAGGAGATGGCTAGGCTAAATGCTAAATGCTAACGACTCACTCGGGCACATTACATACGTCACGGTAAACTCAGATCCAATCGTTTCAATCTGCAAAAGGAGTTAACCCCTCCCACCTGTTCACGAAGCTCAATGGAGCACGTCCAGACCTTAATAGAAAATATAATTTGTATGGTGTGGTACAACAAGGTCAAGGTCAAGGTCAAGTTTATTTATAAAGCACATTTAAAACAACAATGCTGCCCAAAGTGCTGTACACAAAAATACATGTATATAAAATACACAATTTGAAAATAATAAAATTAAAATACAGATGCGGAAAAACAAAAATCAACACCAGCAAAGAAAAAAAGTCCTGCTCAGTTTTAATTAAAGGACTTTGCAAACAAATGGGTCTTCAACATAGACTTAAAAATGCCTAACAACAAGGGTATCAGAAACCACTCATCTCAATTTTATCGGACAAACTGAAACAAATACAGCCATAAACAAACCGAACAACCATTTTAATAATAAATCATTCATTTTGACATATGTGATATGGATTGAGATTCCGGTTATTATTCAGAAAACTTAATCAAAAAGTTAAATTTACCAGGTCGACAGTACTATCTGCAGTCCGACTTGGTGTGTGAGAGTAGAGCAGCCCCCTGGTCCCGGTTCACAGTCCTGGGAGCATGTTTCCTTATTTGAATTCCTCTCTTGGATACAGCATCGGTGTTTGTTGCCCTCAGCTCCTATTGCAGTTGCTTAATCTCAATCCGTAGTTTTTTTTTCCACAACGATTAGAAACAGCCGATTTGAGTTGCTCTTGTTCTGTGTTTTGTTGCTTGTTCCTTTATCGTCTCCTTCTCACGTTATGTTTTGTGTTTCTCTTTTTACTGAACTGAACTGAATGTAACCACTCTGAGGAAGATTGACTTTTCCCACTGGGTTTACAGATTTACACTTTATCCGCCCCTTATGGACCAATACCAAGGTCAAGGTCAAGGTCAAGGTCAAGTTTATTTATATAGCACATTTTAAAAACAGACAGGACTGTCACAAAGTGCTTACCAGACATTGTAAAAATACAAGACACAAATAACATTCAGCATAAAATAAAATGCAGGACACCATCATAAATGTTTCAACATTGCTTGTGTTAAAAAGCCAAAGCAAAGAAATGTGTCTTTAGCTGCGATTTAAAACTCTCTACAGAGGGGGCAGCTCTGATGGAGTAAGGGAGAGCGTTCCAGAGTTTAGGCCCTGCCACAGCAAAGGCTCGGTCTCCTCTGGTTTTTAATCTAGACCTGGGACAGTGCAGAAGAAGCTGGTCAGAGGACCTCAGTGCTCTTCCCGGGGTGTGCAAAGTAAGCAAGTCAGTCAGATATGACTGACTTGCTCATACCAATGAGTTTTCCATTTTATTTCTTGTCTTTGAACTGTTTGATTTGCTGATCCGTGTTGGTAAATTCAACGTTGTGTAAAGTCCTTTTGAGATAACTACTTTTGTGATTTAGGGCTATACAAGAATACATTGAATTTCATTGAAGATTGTGCACCACTGGTTGAAACTGTCAGGTACACACACAAAAACACATTGATCTCAATAAAGAATCACCCTCTCTGTCAAGTTGAAGCTATCCAACTAAATGCACCTCACACATACACATATGACCAGGGCATTCTCAGGCAATGAAGCAACACTCATCAAGTCACAAAATATAAGACTTACATTACAACTTCAGACACCAGACACAGAATGAGCAGAGGGCACTAAACTGGTTGAAAACATTTGAGGTCCACGCTGCGGCGTTAAAGCGATCATGAGAAAGTCAGCGATCAGAGGTTTTTGGGGCTGAGTCAGGAGGTATTTGGCTTTTTCAGCACCTGCCCCTCCCACAGAGAGTGCAGGTCCCTCAGTCTGACCCCAGTGAGTTTAGAGTAAGTTTTAACAAAGCTCAGCAGCATGTTTTTGTCCTTTTCTGACTGGACTTGGAACCAACAAATGAACAAACAAAGCATTTGATAAAGAAACATTTTCCAATCACTGGTACGTAGTAAATAAGTGAGCTAATACTGAGCCTCTACACTCCCTGACCCCCGCCACCCCCACCGCCTCCGGACCATTGACAGTATTGGACAGTAGGTTGGAGCTGATTGGACGAGGCACTTTGAATAGTTGGCTGTGCTGTTCTGTGCACGCAGCATCAGCACATTTCACCCACTGACAGCGCATGTTACTGAGCCACAAGCATACACCTGACAACAGCAGCGACAGCCTGGCATTAGGTGCATGTGTGTCAGGAGGTCACGTCAATGAGAGCTCACAAGTGACAATTATCAGATCAGTTATTAATGATACAGATAGACATGAAAGGTTCCAACATGTATTTTAGGAGGTGATAGTCGGAGAGTTGAGAGATGAGATGTTGTGTTTTGAAAAGGTTGAACTGTAGTGAGGCAGCAAGTTGTTCTTTGAGTAAAGGTTGTGGAAAACAAGAGAACATGATACAGATCAAAACTTCCATCAAAAGGAGCCAGTGTGTCTGGGCAGCATGGTCTGGTCTCTTAACCAACCTCTGAAAACATGGGGTGCAGACTCTATAGAGGGCTCTACAGGCAGCCCTACAGACAGCACTACAGACAGCACTACAGACAGCACTACAGACAGCACTACAGACAGACCTACAGACACACCTACAGACAGCACTACAGACAGCACTACAGACAGCACTACAGACAGCACTACAGACAGCACTACAGACAGACCTACAGACAGCACTACAGACAGACCTACAGACAGCTCTACAGACAGACCTACAGACAGCACTACAGACAGACCTACAGACAGCACTACAGACAGACCTACAGACAGACCTACAGACAGACCTACAGACAGCACTACAGACAGACCTACAGACAGCTCTACAGACAGACCTACAGACAGATCTACAGACAGACCTACAGACAGATCTACAGACAGACCTACAGACAGCTCTACAGACAGACCTACAGACAGATCTACAGACAGACCTACAGACAGATCTACAGACAGCCCTACAGACAGCACTACAGACAGACCTACAGACAGACCTACAGACAGCACTACAGACAGCACTACAGACAGCACTACAGACAGCACTACAGACAGACCTACAGACAGCTCTACAGACAGACCTACAGACAGCTCTACAGACAGACCTACAGACAGCTCTACAGACAGCACTACAGACAGACCTACAGACAGACCTACAGACAGACCTACAGACAGCTCTACAGACAGCACTACAGACAGCACTACAGACAGCACTACAGACAGCACTACAGACAGACCTACAGACAGCACTACAGACAGCACTACAGACAGCACTACAGACAGCACTACAGACAGCACTACAGACAGACCTACAGACAGCTCTACAGACAGACCTACAGACAGCTCTACAGACAGACCTACAGACAGCTCTACAGACAGACCTACAGACAGCTCTACAGACAGACCTACAGACAGATCTACAGACAGACCTACAGACAGATCTACAGACAGCACTACAAACAGACCTACAGACAGCCCTACAGACAGCCCTACAGACAGACCTACAGACAGCTCTACAGACAGCACTACAGACAGCACTACAGACAGCACTACAGACAGCACTACAGACAGCACTACAGACAGACCTACAGACAGACCTACAGACAGCACTACAGACAGCACTACAGACAGCACTACAGACAGCACTACAGACAGCACTACAGACAGACCTACAGACAGCACTACAGACAGACCTACAGACAGCTCTACAGACAGACCTACAGACAGCACTACAGACAGACCTACAGACAGCACTACAGACAGACCTACAGACAGACCTACAGACAGCACTACAGACAGACCTACAGACAGCTCTACAGACAGACCTACAGACAGATCTACAGACAGACCTACAGACAGATCTACAGACAGACCTACAGACAGCTCTACAGACAGACCTACAGACAGATCTACAGACAGACCTACAGACAGATCTACAGACAGCCCTACAGACAGCACTACAGACAGACCTACAGACAGACCTACAGACAGCACTACAGACAGCACTACAGACAGCACTACAGACAGCACTACAGACAGACCTACAGACAGCTCTACAGACAGACCTACAGACAGCTCTACAGACAGACCTACAGACAGCTCTACAGACAGCACTACAGACAGACCTACAGACAGACCTACAGACAGACCTACAGACAGCTCTACAGACAGCACTACAGACAGCACTACAGACAGCACTACAGACAGCACTACAGACAGACCTACAGACAGCACTACAGACAGCACTACAGACAGCACTACAGACAGCACTACAGACAGACCTACAGACAGCTCTACAGACAGACCTACAGACAGCTCTACAGACAGACCTACAGACAGCTCTACAGACAGACCTACAGACAGCTCTACAGACAGACCTACAGACAGATCTACAGACAGACCTACAGACAGATCTACAGACAGCACTACAAACAGACCTACAGACAGCCCTACAGACAGCCCTACAGACAGACCTACAGACAGCTCTACAGACAGCACTACAGACAGCACTACAGACAGCACTACAGACAGCACTACAGACAGCACTACAGACAGACCTACAGACAGACCTACAGACAGCACTACAGACAGCACTACAGACAGCACTACAGACAGCACTACAGACAGCACTACAGACAGACCTACAGACAGCACTACAGACAGACCTACAGACAGCTCTACAGACAGACCTACAGACAGCACTACAGACAGACCTACAGACAGCACTACAGACAGACCTACAGACAGACCTACAGACAGCACTACAGACAGACCTACAGACAGCTCTACAGACAGACCTACAGACAGATCTACAGACAGACCTACAGACAGATCTACAGACAGACCTACAGACAGCTCTACAGACAGACCTACAGACAGATCTACAGACAGACCTACAGACAGATCTACAGACAGCCCTACAGACAGCACTACAGACAGACCTACAGACAGACCTACAGACAGCACTACAGACAGCACTACAGACAGCACTACAGACAGCACTACAGACAGACCTACAGACAGCTCTACAGACAGACCTACAGACAGCTCTACAGACAGACCTACAGACAGCTCTACAGACAGCACTACAGACAGACCTACAGACAGACCTACAGACAGACCTACAGACAGCTCTACAGACAGCACTACAGACAGCACTACAGACAGCACTACAGACAGCACTACAGACAGACCTACAGACAGCACTACAGACAGCACTACAGACAGCACTACAGACAGCACTACAGACAGACCTACAGACAGCTCTACAGACAGACCTACAGACAGCTCTACAGACAGACCTACAGACAGCTCTACAGACAGACCTACAGACAGCTCTACAGACAGACCTACAGACAGATCTACAGACAGACCTACAGACAGATCTACAGACAGCACTACAAACAGACCTACAGACAGCCCTACAGACAGCCCTACAGACAGCTCTACGCATGGCTCTACAGAAGGGTGCAGCTGCAAACTGGCCCTTTTCCATTATGTCTCCTCCTCATTTGGCCTCATTGGCCTGCCACTCAACCTGTCACCATGGGGATGAGCTCAGATTCTCTGTGCTGTAGTTACACTACAATTACACATATGACAAAAGGCACAAACACCACATCTGCCCCGCTCTGCCACATGGCTCTGTCTATATGTTACCATTTCAGCTAAGAGATAAAGACATCATTATAGGAGGAAAGCAGCACTTAAAGGGCAACTGCCACTTCATTTGAGTGCATGAGAGGGTGAACGCACGGCATGCTCCATGGAAAATGTCACACACACACACGCGCGCGCGCGCGCACACACGCACACAAATAACTGTGATATGATAATGATGGCATCTCAGCATCTTTGTGTCAAGGGCTATGAGATCAGTTATTCCCCCAGACTCGGATTTATAAATCTGATATAAACAGAACAGCACAGTCTCCTAAACTATAAAAGTTTAAGTTGAGTTTGTACAAACAGTACCTAGATGACAATAGACCAAGAAGACATAAAAGTGAAACAAACAAACAAAGTGACAGTGCATTTACTATGACATAAGTTTAAAGCATCGCCTGTTTGTCCAGGGAGATTCAGTCAGGCTTCACATTCACGTTAATGATCAGAAAGAAAAGATGCTCTTACTGTGAATGTTGGCGTTTCCCTTGGGTTCATTTGAAGGAAGGTCCCCGAAGTGCACCCGGTGTCCAGACATGTCTTCAGCCCAGAGCAGCGCAGTGAGGATGTCTAAACTATCTAAACTTCACAAACACCAACAGACGCGCGTGTGTCGCTGTGCTGGAGGCGCATGTGGAGCGTGTGATGCCGTCACTGACCCTCCGTCTGTCTCCGGTGCTCCTCCAGCCGCAGACCCGAGCCATACTGCGGCGAGCCTGCGCGTCACATGCCCTCTGCCCTCAGCACAGCTGCGTACACGCACACACACAATCACACACATCAACACACGCAGGCGCAAACACACATGTGCGCTCACAAGCACGTTTTTTTGCATTCGACATCAATCTAAACTTCAACTTTTACCCGTGTCCAAATGACTGCAGAGTGACGTCACCCCCAAAACGCTACAGTATTAGGAGGAAGAAGACTGACTGACCAGACTGTACCAGGTCTATACAAGGGATCATTATGAGAGCGTCTCCAGGTATCTCTTGGACATTTTTTGAGAAAACTATAACTGACCCATGCTTTCAGTGGACCGGCTTGTGCTGCTGTATCCGCTAGCGCCCCCTAGTGGATTTAATGTGATTGTGTATTTAGAAGGAACTCTGCCGTTCGAATACCAAAATAAGAGATCAAGAGATGCAGAGTCTGGATGACAGCTGGAATATGTCAGTGGCCTGGTAAGTGTTGTGCTCAACCTACACCTTTCCTGTTTTCAGATATAATGTAAACACACTAAAGCTGATCATGGAGCAGTCCAGATGCCAGTTAGCCCATTGTGACGTCATAGTGGTCCAATTAACACAATAAAATATTACAATAATGTGTGGTATGCAGTGAAAAGGTATAAACAAACAATATATTTCACAAAACTTTTATTTTGAGGCTATCACCCAAAATACTGTAATCAAATGGAAAAACACACATTTGTGCAAATGAGAAGATTTGGAGCACATATATAAATCCAACTTAGTATAACACTTCTGAAAGGGCCATAAAGCATAGACAAAATTACATTTTGGTCTGCAAATAAGAGACAAATAAATAAAGGTTGGTGTATCACATCACCATCACCATCACAAACACAATCACAACCACAACCACAACCACCACATCACAAACCAGCCACTATTCTGGCCTCTCGAAGAGTAAAAAACAAAGTGCACTGCACATCCTTCTCTCATTATAGAAATCTTATAAAAAATAACTTATTGGAACTAAATCAGTGGTTCTGCTGTCTGCACCAGGCACTTCCTACGCCTTCACTTGCCACTCTCCCCATTCTGTTCAATGTACATTTTGGACAGAGACACAGCCATTGACTTGGCCAGCTCCTCGTCTCTCTTCCTCTGCATCTGTGAGTGACGGCACCACTCTTCATACTCTGGGTTTGGTGCACACGTGTCCAGGAGAGCATCATAATGACCATTACTCAGCCAGCTCAGCCAGATCTCGGGTGAGCTTACATCCTCCTCTCCCAGATAGTGCTGCATGGTGGACACAGTGGGGCTCTCTAAGCTGCCTCCAGTGGTCAGCTGCACATTTACATTCAGCATTTGACTCATGGCCAGGAGCTCTGGGTATCCAGCCCAGGCACCGTCCTGCGCTGCGCTCAGGAGAAACTCACATACATCCCCCTCGATTATGGGGTTAAACTGATCCAGGTGGTCTGCGATGTGGTGCATGGTCTGCTCCCTGAGCTCACTGTGCCGGGCCTGCTCTCCAAACACAGCCTTACACACTGCTCTGTACAGGCAGTTTCCATCCGGGATGATGTGGTACCTGAACTTGTTGCGTTCCTCCAGGTACTTGTTCTGTCTCTCCACCTCTGCCAGGTATCTCTGGACTTTGGTGTTGATGTCCCCTTTCTGTGAGGGGGGGTCCTGCAACACACTCAGCTCAAACTCTCCCATGTGTCCTCCCGCCTGGCTTTGGTCACAGACCTCCTGTGTTCGGACATGCTCTGGTTCTTCTGCTCCTCTGGTCATCTCCTCCTCATGTGTAGAAGACCACCCATTGATCCTGCTGGGGGCCTCCATGTCACCGTGAGGGGGACTGCTCCTCTCCTGTTCTTCTGTTGAGGGCAGACACACACTTGTGAGGTCCGAGCTCTCAGGTGGAAGCTGCTCTGACTCCAACCCGTGGCGCAGGTGATCCATGATGTCCTCAAACACGTCCGAGTGTCTGTAGTGTGAGCTGCCATTATGCTCAACAGGACTAGGACACGGGGACTTTGATTTAGAGTCCCGCACAATATGAACCGACACAGGCCTCTCCAGCCCATCCGCTCTGCGTATGAGGATCTCAGCAGTGGAAGTGAAGTACAGAGGCCTCATGGATGAGGCTTCGTAGCACGAAAAGGCAGCAGGCATGTTGGCGGAAGACGCACCCTCTTGTTGCGCCCTGTTGGTCGTAGAAGTTGAAGGCGCTTGGAAGCTGAATCCACTGGAGCCGAGTTCAGAGGAAGAGTTCTCGGTCTGACGCTCGGGCGCTGTCCTTAAAGTTATTGTGACTTTCCGGGTGGCCTTAGGGTAGTGTGTCAGCACACTGTTGTACAACTGCATCTTGTTGGAGTCCTTTATAGCGAACGCCTCTGTGGCTGTTACGGAACGATGACAACAACATCTAAAAATACGCAGCGTGTCACGGACAACAGGAAAGTTGTGGAAGCAGCGTCTCCATGGCCCAGTGTCCTGCCGCTGACACGCACCGCGCACCGTCCACTTTGGAGCCTTGCGTCATGTGGAGTCTGGGTCCCACCCTAATTTTAGACTTTAGACACGGTAACAAGACTCTTCACTTCTGTCAAGGTGAACAACACAAACACCACTTCCGCCCGGTTATTCACAAAATAAGATCGAATAAGTCAAAATAAGATCAAATAAGTCAAAATAAGATCAAATAAGTCAAAATAAGATCAAATAAGTCAAAATAAGATCAAATAAGTCAAAATAAGATCAAATAAGTCAAAAGAAGATCAAATAAGTCAAAATAAGATCAAATAACTATGTCGTATTTTTCATCAAAGTAAACAAGTACATAGTTTGTGATACTGACAAAGTAATAAGAGTGTTGAGATACTCTAAAATGGCAATATAGTTATACAATTATATATATTTCTATGTATGCGTGTACTAATATGTTATATATAATAAATATCAATAGCAATACAGTAACTACTGCATGACTAATGCTCTCTGATAAAACTAGTATAGGCGTTGACCCAAGGAAGTTATTTACACATCATGATTATGAATGTCCCAATTAATAAATCTGTGAACAATCCAGCACTTTGCGATTGCCCATTAGAGGATTTGATGACAATGTTGGTTATGAGTTAGCGCCATTTAGAGATGAGCTCACCGCAGACAGCTGTGACACAGATCCACAGAATATGATAAACACTGTGTCAAAAGTAGATACACTGTTACTAGATCTCACTGATGTTATTTATAATCCACACATATTCAGGGTGTGATTGGTGAAAGCGCTGTGGTGTTCTGGTGCTATGTATGTATTTGTATTATGCTTGTTTGATTGATGTTAATATTGTTATTGTATTGTTGTTATTGATAAGGAGCAGTTTCATAGTGCCAATTATAGTCCCATGACTGTAAATGACGAGTAGGCTTATGCATCCTTCTTAAAGAGTCCTATTGTTTTTATTCTAATAAGGGTGATTAGACAATTAGCATTTATGAATATGATACTTAATTTATAATTTAATTCATAAGCAGTTATATATATTTTTTTTAACTTTATTGACATTTTTATTATTGACAGGAAATTAAAACAATACAGTCTCTTCAATATATAAACAAACGAAATTAAACCACATAAATAGATACAACATAAAACCAGTGAGTAAGGAGAGAAGAGATGCTAGAGAAAAGAATTAAAACACAAAACAACACTTGAATACACAGTGAAAAAAAATGAATAGAAAGCCAAATATTTTTCATAGACACAGCAGAGGTCACATTTCAAAGAGCGCGTTGGTTGGTGTATTATTTATATTGATTACGTTTTGAAATATTGTGAAAAGGGGCTTTCTATTTATGAATATGGCCTCATGGATGTTGGACGTGGCTAGGATGATTTTCAGATTAACTGAGGTGAGGCTGGGGATGACACCGTGTTGAGGTCTTCGAACAAAAAACGATGAATGTTGACGTAATGGTGCATGTACTCACAGTCACCAGCAGGGGGGGCACTATCTGCACGCGCCTGATAGAGCCACACGAGGGCGCCATTCCCCCACAGAGGACTCCGCAGTGAAACAAACGAACTCAGAGCCCATAGTGTTTGTGTATGTGTGCTGTGTACTGTGCAGTATGGCAGAGACACGGCTCCAGCAGCTGTCGCAGCCTGTGCACTGCATACTAATGGCTACTCTTCATCACTTTTGTCTCTGTAACCTGCTGAGGCTGCTGCACCATTACTTACTGTAGAAGCTCGTAACATGAAACCATTGTGTCCTAGTATGTTTATGTGAAATATGAGGAGAAATAAAATACGCTACAATACTCTCACTGGTTTGACTTCAGTCTGTTTGCTAAAAGAAAAGTCGAGAAAAGCAGCTAGGTGGTTTATTATGCTAGCAACTACAGGCTATTGTATGGGCACGCGCCAATTCAAATCAATCAATACACCTTTTCTCATATCGTAAAAAGGCTAAAAGTTGTAGTTTTTTAATGTAAAATATAAAAATGAAACATAATACGCTCTTATTAACGTGTGTTGTGAATTATGTCTGTATCAAAGACTGAAAATAGTACCTGCAAGCTAAAAGAAAAGTCAAAGAAAGCAGGCTACTGAATGAGAATACCACAAGATAACAAAGATAAGAAACCCTTTATTCGTCCCAAAGTGGGGAAGTTTCAATGTTGCAGCACACAAAATACACAGATTAAGTAGCTGCTATGTTTGCTAGCTATAAATGCTTCAATATCAATCAATCAAAACATCTAATATATATAGTATTCGATATTTTTGAAAGATTAAAAGATTACGTCAATTTTAAACCTATTCTCACATTGTAAAGGTGGACCAGATGAATGCTTATGCACAAAAAAGGCGAAACTTATATGTTAAAATGTCGCCAGTCGCAGCGTGCTACAATCCATCGCTACAGTGTTGTTTTTGTGTGCAGCCTGTTGTTTGTTTTCGTGCGCGCCAAATTAGACAGAGCATAGTTCCGCTTTAGCGCTGCGTAAAACACGTAGCACGGCTCTGGATCTTCACCCTAGACTCCAAAATCTGGCGAATGCTTATGTTTGTTTTTTTTGTCTATTTTTGCCTGTGTTTAAAAAAAAAAAAAAAGTAGGTGGATGTCAAGCAGCTTCGACCACGCTGATGTCAGGGCACCTCTCTCTGCCTGCGCTGGTGGTGGGAGGATCTCTCCGTTGAGTCACGCAGCTGTCAAAGATAGCTGTCACCCAGTTTCAGGATCAAACACAGAGTGAATGAGAAAAGGACTGTGTGTGGAGGAGAGGAGCGGGCTCAGGTAACCCCTCAGTGTCCAGCGAGGATAGAGTACATCCCCGGGAACACAGATCCACACTTTGGACGCGGTCTTTTTTGTAAGGATTAAATATTCTGGGGCAAAGAAGAAAAATCACTCACTCGCCTCGCCATACATCCACGGTCCAAAGTGGGCATTTTTGTACGGATATGAAGTCAAAAAAAGGTAAGATATGTGTTTTTCATCACTGGCTTATGCTTTTTATTCCGAGTACAGTGTCGAAAGTGGGTTTAAAAAAGCGATTCCTTCCCCACACAAGCCATGCAGTCTATTGTTTCCTTTCCAGACATGACAGGGAGATTCTGCCATGTGCTGGCGCGGACTCGCAAAACGCCAAAAACAACTTTCAAATCCTTTCAAATTCACTTAAAATCACTTAAATCCACGTTTGGCACATTTTACTTTGTGAGATTGCTGTCAACTAAAAACTGCCGTGGAAAATAGTGGGGACTTTCATGTGGGAAATGTCCAAAATCGCTTTAAAAAGAAGTGTATTGCTGTGTTTTTGTTGTGAAAAGCTGTTTTGTATAGTATAAGTCTGTAATCTTGTGTTGGTGTTGATGCAGAAGTTGTTTGGGGACTAGTCTCACCGTGTGCCATAGTTTTCAATGTTGCATCCTTTTGATAATTGTGCGTAAAATCTGCGCGTAATGTATGGATCGTGTTGTCGTGTATGTTGTGTCTGTATTTAGTCCCCGCGGGTTTTAATCGTGTTTGAATCCATATATAGGCTAATGTTCCTTCTGACCTCATTGTGGGAAGTTGCTGTTTGCCTTGTTATATTCGCGGACCTCGTGGTACTAGGCGCACACAATAGAAAGCTCCTTACAAGTTGTTCAATGTGGGCAAAACGTGGCATTTCTGTCGCCTGGTGTCTTTTCCTGGCTACAGATCGGAGTGGGAAGGTTTTCGGGGTGATTTTCGAACATGGCAACGTGCAAATCTGCGAGTACAAACTTTTGAATCGCTCACAAAGAAGCACGCAGCCCTGGGTTCTTTTGTTTAGTCTGGAGACGCTGATTTGCAACAGGTCTCCCCTCCCCCTTTCCTCTCTCAGCCTACGTAATTACCTCATCCTGTGGGCTCGCTGCTCACACTTTTGGAACTTTCTGTGCTCTTTCCCATCGCTGTTCATCTGATCCGAATTATGTACACTGAATCACCATACATGTAGGCTGATGCGATCTGCCCTAAATGCAAAATCACAAATCACATTACACATCACTTTATACTCATGTGTTGATTCAGTTGAGTGAGTTGGAGTTGTGTCACTGGAGTGCGTTATTTCTCGTTGCATGTCAGTGTAAACCACTTAAGATGAATACAAAGGGCAATCCGCTGTGATCTTCTAGATTAACTTTGATTAGACATGCCCAAGTTAAAGAAGCACCACGAGTCTCTAATCTTTGAAAATACAGTTTCTTCTTTAAACATTCCCATCTCCTTCTTTTGTGGTCAGCCCAGTGAGCTGAACTTAGTCAAGCGTAAGGTGTGCTGTGCCCAAGACTTGGCCTGTATTTGTCTAGGCAGGTTTTATAACTGACACAGCAGCATCAGACTGGTCTTTGTAAAGCCCCCTCTGGTCTACGTCCCTTCCTCTCAGCCCCCACCCTCTTGTTCTCCCCCATATGAATCACATGGCTGAACTTGACAGCTTGCTTCTGACACATCAGCTGCCTTCTAGACAAACTGTGTTTGGTAAACGGACTGACAACAGAGCATGTTTCATGAAAGGAAAATAGTTTGTCATTCTCTTTTGCTCATGTGCTGTTTTTCCTGCTGTAGGCCTGATGATGTTGTCAGGGAGTGAGACAGATGATGAAGACAGCGTAGATGCTCCTCTGGATCTGTCATCCAGTGGCAGCGGCGGCAAAAGGAAACGCAGGGGCAATCTACCCAAGGAGTCTGTGCAGATCCTCCGAGACTGGCTTTATGAGCACCGCTACAACGCCTACCCCTCGGAGCAGGAGAAAGCCCTCCTGTCCAAGCAGACGCAGCTGTCCACTCTGCAGGTAAAAGCTACAACTCTACACAGGATCTATCTTTGTGAGCTGTGCCAGCGGCTTGAGTCATTTCCTGGCTTCTCAAACACAACATGCACATAAACAGTGTTGAAGGTCATCCAAAGCAAAGCAGTGTTGCAACATTAAAGTGTATGAGACACTATGAGTAAACTAGTGCTGCTGAGGGCTCGGCTCAGCGCAGGAATTTCCCTCCCTCCAGCCCCTTTCCATCCCAGCTGTCTGGGAACAATGCAGAGTCATTTACATAGAGTCTGAGCCAGTTACAACTAGCCTGCAGGAGGGAGGGAGAGAAGACTGCGCCTGATTACTTTACTGACAAAGGAGATTACTTTTGTGTTTTAAATATTTAAACACACTATTAAGCACTTGAAAGTTAATATGAAGCTAATGAGTTCACATCAGCTTTGAAGTAAAGACTTGTTGTTAACTGTTGATTATATCGTAACACAGCTTTGTCTGAACCATTGTCTCATAAGTGTCTTTTATTTGTGATGTCTCTTTTGAAAGGCCAGGTGCAGCTTGCACCTGGAGATAAAGATACCTGCAGACTGCATTAACCTCAGTCAAAAGCAGAACAGTGTTGAGCATGTGTTTGCCTTTTGCAGGTGTGTAACTGGTTCATTAACGCACGGCGGCGACTTCTTCCCGAGATGTTGCGGAAAGATGGAAAAGACCCCAACCAATTCACAATATCCAGAAAAGGGAGCAAAGGAGGAGATGGATTTTCTGACAATTCCCAGTCTCCAAAACACAGCAGTCCAGCGGTCAGTCCTGAGGAGAGCTTTGACAAGAGAGCACTGCACCCCTCCAACTTTGAACTGGCTGTGCCGAGTGTCCTGAGGAAGGCCATGTCACCAGCGTCGCCCTCTCCCACCTCCACGCCGCCCTCACCAGTGCTCCTGCCCATGCGGCCCTCTGTCATCTGTCACACCACTGTCACAAGCGCGCTCCAGCCCAGCCCCACGGCCTCCAGCCCCACGGCCTCCAGCCCCACGGCCTCCAGCCCCACGGCCTCCAGCGCCTCCAGTCCTGTCCCTGTGGCTCTTATGAACTGTGAGCGCGCTGCGGAGCTGCTGCAGTCGGTACAAGCCCAGGCACTGCTCCGGTTCCGTGACGACGTGCCCATCCCAGCAGCCACCACCATCGTCAGTAGCACCAGCATGGAGGGCAACCTGAGCCCCCGCAGCGGGCTGTTCAACACCCCTCCCCCCACACCCCCAGACCTCACACAGGACTTTAGCGGCTTCCAGCTCCTGGTGGATGTGGCTCTCAAACGGGCGGCAGAGATGGAGCTGCAGGCTAAACAGCTGGTTTCTTAAAGGGACAGGAGGGACTTTGTCGACTGTAGAACTCTTTGGAGTTCATTGACTTTTCTGCACGTAACAGAACAAAACCACATGAAAGCCTGATCATTTCTATTTTTGGTAAACCAATCAAATTGAGAATGTTTTTTATAGAAGAAAAAAAACTATCGAGGTGCCTTGGCTGTAAGTTGTTTGTTCATTTCATAGACATTTGTATGTATCGACATGTGTATCTTATTTGCACAGGGACCAAAAAAATGTTGAGAGAAAATGCTGCCTGTCTGGAGTCTTTCCATTATACTGTATGTTATTTTACAGAGCAGAGCATGAGCTAGCCTCAGCCCTTATCCACAGACACCAACAGGGATTGGTTGTTCCACGTGTTTACCGTTACATTTCAGAGACTGCTTCATGATAGGTCTGCCTCGTACATTTGCACACTACGGCAGAAGAAGGTCATCTCAGTGTCTTAAACATACTTTGCTCTCGGCATCTATGACAAAGTTATTCACTACTGTAGAAGATGTTATGTGTTTCATGAGTATAAGTATAGTTTTGATTTTGTACTTTACTTTTAGCTGTTTTAAAAAGAAAAAACTCTATACTTTTTTTTACTCTTTTCCCGTTGGGGTATATTTCAGATGACCAATGTAGCAGGTTCTTAGTGTGAGCCTTCATGCCATCAACTCAGCGATAATAAAATGGCCAGTGGACAATAACACGTAACACTACAGATGTCTTTCCTGACGGAGACAGCATTTTGAAATCACCAAAAAGCAATTACCTGTATTATAGGACCATGTGTATAGTCAATGTGACACAATGCCCAATGATGTGATTTCATTTCATACTGTGCAATGTTTGTGGCAAATTGGGGTCACATGGGATTCAATAAAGTTTTGTTTTTTCTACATTTTCCAAATTTCAATCATTTTCCTTTTTAAACTTTTTAATGTGTAAATATTGATTATTGGGTATGTTTTGCATCTGATGTCCACAAATCTATGGATTATGGCTACACTGTTGTCAAAAGTGTACCTTAAAAATCTATAGGGCCGTCCGCTTAAACCGTTTTGACGATCAAAATATTTACTTTTATGATAAATCTGAAAAAAGGAGGTGTTAAATGATTTGGCAATTGTTTTGGTGTTTAAGGCAGGTAAAATGCTTGATTAGTGGGATAGATGCAAATTAATTCAAATTATTTTTGTAGAGCCCTATATCACAAGTTGTCTCGGACTTTACAAAGTTGTCGATTCACTAACAACAGATCAGAGAATCAATCCGTATGAGGCAATATAAATTCTTTTTGCTTAGAATTTAGAGTGGCCTGTTTGGGTCCAATACTTCTCCCTTTTCAGCCAATCAATCAACAAGATGTAGTGGCTATCAAATTATCCATGGGTATCAGAATGACAACATGAGAACTGTTGGCCTTTCAAACCAGTCTTCACATGCATGAAAGGAGAAGCTGAAAACTAATGAATAATATGGGACGTTGTTTAGAAGATGCAAGTATGACACTCAAATCATTCCACAGCCGAGACATAGATGTGATGTGTGCATGTGGGTTTGGTTTCCAGGGCTCCTCCCAATTAGCATAATCCTGCATAAATTAATAGGCAAATGGCAGACATCGGCACTTTCTGGTGAGCAGCTTTCAGAAGTCTCAATAGACCTAATGCAGAGAGCGCAGTATCTCAGCTCATTTCAGACAGAAATGATAACTACTGGTTCAACACTAACGCTGTGTATCTGCTAAGAAAGTCCTGAGGTAAGTAGTACTTGCTCCCCACATCCGTCTAATCTTATATATTGCGACCACCAACTGTTTAAGACATCACTTTGCACCGTGTGGCTCCAAGCACCTTTTGGCCCTTGTCACTTAAATGGTTGTCCAGTCATTTGCAGAATGTATTGGCCAATAAGGATTTAACCAGAACTCCTCCAGGCGCTTACTGGGGAGCTGTGGCCCACCATGGTAGAGCTCTCTGGGTCTGGGACAGAAGAGCCACCCCCTCTGCTCTGGTGAACCCTGGTCAGTGAGGTCAGCATGCCTGCCTTCACTATGACTGATGAATGGATGACGAATCACCAGCAGATCCTTGTGTACATGAGCAGAGGCTGAGCCAAGGCCTAAAAGTGCTGTCTAATTATGGGGACCCAGCCCTGCGGAAGGAACATGCCCCGAATGCACACAGCGCGCCGGCCTTGTAATCTGCTTAATTATATTCCAATTGGAAACATATGCCAAAGAAACAAACACCAGGCAAATATGGCAATGATATTTTTAATGCTGATAAGAGCTCATACACGTGCCATAACATCAACAGTGTAATAACGGTACCTTACAAAAAATGTATATCGGCTTCACATGTTAATTCATTGGGCTTTTAGTTTACATTAAATAAGGAAACATTCATTTATATACAAATATTCATCTCTTTGTAATACTACATCACAAGCTTATAATAGCCAGGGCTGCTCTGCACAACCCAGCATTCTGGTGTCCCACTCCCTGTAAATACCAAGAGCGTCCTATTGATATGTTAATATATAATAAACATGAATAATAAATCTTATCTTATTTGACAGAAATGACTTCATTACATTTTTTGTCAAGTGTAAAATACTAAAATATTAATCTAGATAAATGGCATTTCAGTTTGAACGTCAGTAATGCATTCTTCCTAAAATGACAAATGACAGATTCTTTTGTCATCGGGGTTCCTTCACATTGAAAAAAAAAAACATCCGGTAGGTTTTGGTAAAAGACCACAGGGACACAGTATACTGTTAAGATATTGGATGGCACGAAACTTCAACTGGCTCTGGATTGTCTCCACATTCAAGCAGCTGACACATACTACCTTAAAACATGTTTCTTTGTGAAGATTACCGTTCATTGTTTGTCCCTTTATACTGAAAATATGGCCTATTCTCATGACAGGGGTTATGTACAGTAGAGGCAACATCATAGGGAACACACACACACACACTCACACGTACATACACACACACTTCTTCCCCTGAGACTGCTGTTGTGCTCGACTATTGTAGAAATTAAGGCTGATCACTGGAACAGAAAGGACAAAAAGTGCCAGTAATGCAAAATAAAAAAGTGATCTAAACGTAAGCACAGTATAAGGGCCGTGTTGTCAGTGCATATACAGTCAATACACAGTCAATGTAAATTAAAGGTGAAAATCTAACCATGAGTGAGTTGCTTCATGAAGACGCAGAGTTGCACACTGTGAAGACAAATTCCTCACCTGGTTTTCTTGCTTATGATGAACTTCAAAATAATCTAATTATGAGAACCTAGGCATCGTATCACAGGCAAAATCAAGTAGTTGCTTGCATCTGTTAAAATATTAAATTAAGTGTATGAAAGGGCCGACATGTCAGCGTAAGCATTCCATGTGGTCAGTTTGTCCGGTTCAAAGAAGTTGCACAGTTTAACCGTGGTGCGCAGCTACAGCTACTGTGTAAGAGTAAGAGTTGAAACCTGGAGAGAATGGGAAGCACTCTGGAAACGACCACCTCTCACATTCACTCTCCTCAGTCTGCATTCACACACATTTGTGTTTCATACAAAGATTCTTAAAGCCAAGTGTTCTGCAGAGTCTGCTGCAGCTGATGAGCCACTCACCTGGAGCAGCAAAGCATGACTGACCTCTGGCAGACATTCAAGCAGAAACCTGTTTGTTTCATAATTGCTGCAATATTTATGACTCCCATTACTCCTCATTTCTGCCTCAAATCTAAGATCTAAAAAAAAATCAAGGCCATTGGCTGCTCAATTTTGTAGTAGTCAGTAACATTTTTGAAACCTTTATAAATAAATAAATGGTGAAAACAAAGGACTATTTGTGCATGTGTTCTGAATGCAGCGTGTGCATGTAACACACACATGTACACACACACACACACAAACACACACCTTCATCCGTCTCGTCACAAGCCTCAGAAACAATGTGTGTAACGCTGTGCTACAAGTTGCTTGGGAATATGAAGTCACTTAAAAGGGCCTATATACTGTAGAATACCTCTTTGGGTGTGGGGCATCCACAGACGGGAGGGAGTGCTACATCAATGCTGGGAAATAAATACTTAAATAATAATTATATAAAAGAATATAGTACATAGTACAAATGTACATCATTGTTAGAATGAGTGTGATGGTTAAAGAATCCACAGTGTGTGTAGAAGTCGGAGCGTGTCAGTGCTACTGAGCATCTACTGAGCATCTACTGAGCATGTGTGGCCAGTGCAGAGGGTACAGGGAGGGTCTCATAGTCTGGTCTGAGCCTCAGGAATATAGATCTCAATACTGTCTGCGCTCTCAGTGGCTGAGCTCTGCCGGACTGAAGCAGCTCGTTTGGCAGCTAGCAGGCGTTTGCGAGCCTCCAGGCGCTGACGCTCAGAGCTCTTCAGAGAACGGTCCCTAGTCAGGGGAGGGTGGCCCTTCAGGGGCTTCTTTGGCACAGGAGGGGGCATCCTTCTCTCCTGGACAGGAATCATAAATAGTCTTAATGACACACCACTAAGTGCGTAATGGCAAGCTGCATAAACACTGCGAGGAGCGACACACTTGCAGCCGCTGTGCACATGGATTAGAGTGCTTTAGTGGTCGCTGGCGTAAAATCAGAGCATGCATTCTGAATGACCAAATGTGGCAGCCATTTGTGTGGGGTAAGCGAGCACGTGGAGGCCTTTGGTGAGGGTAAGTGACCACTGGAGATGAACAGGCCTCTTTGGTGCATGGCAGGTACAGAAGTGTCTCACAATCAGCTCACTGTCAGACAGAACATACACATGTGACGTCAGCAGGCAACATGACAACAACAATAAGGCATGCTAACAAAGCCATGACGATAAAGATTTACATCTTCAATATACAACAGTGAGAGCTGAGGGCATGCAGATTAGTCAGGCATTCAATAAGCAGAGCCAGATGAGAACATGTAATATTCATTTGCCATGTGTGTCTGCACCTGAACTTCCGGGGGACTCAGAGGTTTCCAGTTGTTGGCTTTTAGCTGGTGGAGCTCATCAAACTTCAGGCTAATGTTCTCAATAGAGAGCTGGAGCATGTCCCAGAAACCTGCCAGGTCCTGGGAGATGGGCCGCGGGTTTGCATTGGGATTCTATTGTGCACACATGTACATGGACACACACAAGACAGCACACAATGATGAGAACAATGTTCCTGTTGCATGAAATAAAAATATCAAAGCATTTAATAAGCAGAAAAAAAGGAAAAAAGCGATGGAGAATTAGTGAGGAGGTTGATGTTGCCACGGTAACTCTGAAGAGTATGTCAAAGGCAGAGTGATACAGCTTTGTTAATAGTACATGAATACAAAATAACTGTAGATAGTATCACAGTTGCAGACTTAAAGCTGGGGTACCTAACTTTCAAACCACAACACAAATGTAACTATGTAAATGTAAATTAAAACAGTTTGGTTCGATCAATAGTTTTCAAAAGCGCCTCATTTTGGCTTCTGTCCCTTTTTCAGACAGAAAAGTGCATTAGAGACGACCTCCCTCACTCAGTCAATTTTCTCTCAGCTCAACATGACAAATTTTGCAAATAAAATAATGACAGCATGTTGCGGTTTTTGTCACTTTGCGTCGGGACAAACAAAAAGCTAGGTCCCCCAGCTTTATTCCGACATGTTGTAGAAGTAACAACATATTGGTATAATAGTATATGCTAATAGCCTGCATTATAATCTCTTATTTATGACTGTGTTCTGCCACATATCACACTAAACAACAGAGGCGTATTACACGGAGCACCCACAGATATCCTGCCGGTGTAAAACAGGCAGTGCAGATACAGTCTACCCTGGTGCATAGTAAATGAGCGGCGGGCCTCTGTCAGGATGATTTGTGCAGGATGATGTCAGTGTGAGTGTGTGGGGGGGGAGGAGGGGGTCTGAGGACGGAGGAGGAGGGGCAGAGGGGGGGGGGCACATGCAGAGGATGAGGTGACACATACCAGATTCTCTTCACACAGCTCCCGGAACTGCTGGAACTTCTGGGACATCAGCAGCTGGGCACTCCCCACTGCACTGCGGATCTTCCCCAGGACTGCAGGCAGACACATGCATGGCACACACACACACACACACACACACACACAAACAAACAGCATTCACAATGAGGTTAGTCACCGCAGCGACGCAGCGAGCAGACGTGATCGACCAATGAGAGCGTGGCCGCAGAGGAAATGCAACAGTGCTCAATATTCAGACCAATATTATGAACAGTAATCGTTTTTGAGATAAAAAAACATCAGCAAAAGCCAATATGAGACTGAGGTTGTATTGTGTGTGCCATGTAAACACAGATTGACATTTGTAGTTGTGCAAAAGTGTGACGGATGGAACAAAACCACAAGTTAATGTAACGCTTTGCTTCTTATCCCACTGTTTTTGCCGTAGTATTAGACGGAATAAGAGTGCTTCGTATAACCTAGGTCGTCTTCAGAAGGCACCTGTCAGCACATCCCGCTCTGTGTGAGGGGAATGAGAAGAGGGAGAGGGGGAGCGGTGGGGGAGTGAGGCTCCTACAGACAGTCCCGCAGCCCTTCAGGATGTGAGCGTGTTTGGCACTGTAGCGTGAGATCTGGGAGGACGTAACCTTGAGACTCTGTGTGAAAGCATCTTTTATCTGCACTCAAAACAGAGAATCGCTGGGTTTCGGTTTTTGGATTAAATCCTTGCACCGGCTGACACAGGAGTTGGAAATTAGTTATTCAAGAAGAGGAGTCATACAGCAATAAAACTACTGCTGTGTTGCTGGGTTTGAGATTACACCACGGCATTGAACAGGCCTGGAACAAGTCATGAGACGTAGAGGCAGTAAACATCCTTCTGTATCATTTAATATGGAGATTTCTGATGTCCAGTTTATTTCTATCAAAATCCTGATACCCCGACTATAATTTAAAGCTGGGCTACCTAATGTTCAAACCACAGAAGACGGAACTGTGCAATAACTGACTCCAAAACATTGGTTCCATCACAAGTTTTCACAAACATCTTTTCACATGTATTTCTTTGGATAAACACATATTTTTTGGGCTCTGTAACATCTCACGATCAAAAAGGAAAAACATTCATTCTCAGCCCAAAAGTCTTTTTCACAAGTCTGCAAAAGCAAACATGTTTTCTAATACTGTCAACATTTTACCTGTACAAACATGTATTATTGATGACAAAAAGTGAATTTAATGGTTTAAATATATCTTTCAACAGGAATGAAAATGCAGTGTAATCATAAGTCATCTATCTCAGTTTATTATCTATAATGTATATGTACTGACACATTGAAGCATTTAACAGTAATAACCCAAACACAAAACAAGAAAAGCACCCGTAGAGCGCAGACTTCCACCAAGAGTCGCATTGCAATTTGTTAAATACATTTCCCGATCCAAAGTCGAATCATTTATTTCCTGATAATGTACCCATGTAGCCTGTTACAAAACATTTCCCGCTGTCAGAGCTAATAAAGAGCATTAAGTATTAATGCGTATCGCTCTGACTACAAACCACTTTCCCACTGAGGTCACGATACTTTCTCACTTCATGACCACTCACGGTTTGTGCTGAGGCGACTACATTTAACTATTTGATCCAAGAGGCTTTTTTTCTGGTCATTAAAAAAACATGACTTTATGGTTGTGTGCTTCCAGTTCTTGTCTTATTGTCTTTGTGTTATGTTTGTTCTGTTTGGGGTTGTACTTTTGTGTTTTCGTTTAATGGTGTGTTGTTTTTGTGTTCACGTTGAATGTTGAATAAAAAAAAACAGAAAAGAAAAAGAAGAAAAAACAGACTTCTTTTAATACTCTTTACCCTCACATGAATACTTTCCACCGCTACATTTACTTCTACTTGAATACTCCTACTTGACTATTATTCTTGGCTCCCCTCGGGCCTGCTGCAGCGAGCTTATGAATGAATATATTTAAACATGTACGTGGTATTCCCGGCTGTGTACTCTGGCTGTAGATCAAGTGCGCCTTGAAGGAGAGTTTGTGTGAGCTCATTACAGCATGTGTCGAGAGGACAGATGTGTGGCTGGTCCCTGCTCGGCCTTATTGATAACTATGCTCGGTATGTCTGTGGAGGCCAGAGGGTCCGGGGCCCGAACAAGCAGCTATTGTAATACTGAACCCAGAATATCGTCATAAAGAGACATCGACTCTGATAGTAGCAGGCTTTGACCTTCTAATCCAGAGATACGTCCAGTCAAAGCATCAGGCTCCTCTTTGAAGTGGACTCGTACCGTTTTGAGCTTTGTCACCGTCTGGCGCCTTCATATTTCTGATTTATTTGTGTCTTTTGAACGTGTCACTGTCTCAGATCAGGCCTCAACCTTCCTTGAGTAAAGCTGAATGTAGGAGAAGCAGCTTTCTCCCATAATGCTTCTTGTAAATGGAACCGATTCTAATGATTTTGATGTTAAGGCTGAGCTCACTTGTTAAATATGTTGTTGTGATTTGATGTCTCACGTTGAGCTGCAGTTCTTGTATGAAAATGTGCAATACAAATAAATTGTCTTTCCTTTCTCTATTAAAGGTGAAACTAGGAAAATTTGAATATTTTTTTAAAGAAAAGCATATAAGTCCATTATACTTAAAACTTTCAATGTGAAACCAATAAATGACAGACTTAGTAGATGCAGAAGTGAGGGTTAGGGTTAGGGTATCAAGCATTTATGTGTTATAATGTTGATAATTGGTTACAGCTTGGAAAAATCCATAATAAAACATCTAATAAAATAAGAATGTTCTGAAAATTACCTGTAAACCAAAATCAATCAAATTACAACAAAAAAGCCTCGGCATATGGTGTTGCATGACATTCATATTAAGTGGATTTACAGGACTAAATTAACTTTTAAACAATCATTTTAATATTCACCTGTATATATTCTGAATATTCTAAGTCTCTATATGTCAGCTGACTTCTGTATTGAAAATTGGCGAGTCGATTTGCGGAGCAGCTTTGAGCGAGCGAACGATAAGAGGAATCAAAATACATAAGGCCTATTGAGCTTGTGCTTGGGAACCAAATAGTTTGGAACTCCTCCAGTCTCGGTCCAAAGCAGGATCTGTAATTGGTTTGGCAGAGCAATGTTGCCACTACCACAGGCCTCCTAAAAATCCAGCCCATGAAAAAATAATGTGAGTAGCCCTAGTATACGGTTCAAATCTCTTAACATTCTTGTGTCTTGTTCATTGTTATTGCTCAAAATCTTTTGTCGCAGGAAATGAATTAATGCATTAAAGTTAAAAAGTCCGCCTCACCTTCATCCTGCAGCTCCTGGTCGCTCTCGTCCTGCTCCATGTGTCTGCACCAGCTCTCCATGCGCTCCGTCTCGGCCTGCAGCAGCTTGAGGAACCAGCGTCCGTCGCGGGGGCACACCGACCTGCTCACGGCCTGCAGGTCCTGGCCCTCCGCCTCGGGCACGCTGTCCATCCAGGGGTCCGGAGGGGGCAGGATGGAGGGGTCGAAGCCCACCTCTCCGTAGTCGTCGGCGGCACAGGCGTGGTAGTGGTTGCCTGAGCCCTGGATGCTGACGGTGGAGGAGGCGGCGTCCCGGGAGTGTTGCCGGGGCATAGTGGCACAGTGTCGCGGTGGGGGCAGGTCCGAGCTGTCGGCGGGGTCGTCCAGGTCTGCTTGCACTGCGGTGGTCACGCTGTTGGACCGCGTCATCCGTCTGTAACTGTAAATGTGAGACAAAAGACAAGATATTTTACATGTATTTTCTAAGTCATGTTGGGCTTCCGTCATCAGCTCATGAGCTCACATTGTTAACACTGACAATTCTATCATTTTGACCATATACTGCATTATCCCCAGCGGCTGTTCCACCTCTGCTTCTGTGACCTAAAGTACTATTGCTCTTTATTACTATTGCTAGTAACTTTTAGAATTACATATTTATTTGTTTGGATGGATGGATGCGTTTCTGCAGCTGCTGGACACCTGCATTTCTCCATCTATCTACACAGTATAACAGGCACACTATCTCTGCATGACAAAACGGTTTGACGTGTTTAATATCAAGATACTATGTCACGATACATTGCTGTATTTATATTTTGAATACAGTCCTTTTGTAGTAATGGTGGTTACAGGTGCAGGCATGAGACAAACAGTAGTTGTATTGGGACCAATTGTGGTTCACTTAAGGCACTATTTGTGGACGTAAAACTGAATCCTCTAGTCAAAAGTCTTGAACTTTGTGAACAAGATTTGGTCTAGTTAAAGTCAATGCACCCTTAGTCATATTAGTAGTAAGTAAACTAATAGTACTAGTGGTAGTCTTACAGCCCATGGTAATCTATAACACTGAGGATGTTGTGGCTGTAGTTCAAGACACCAGCTAAAGGCAAATATGACAACATAAGCACACCAGTAATAGGATTTCTCTTTTCGGAAGCAACGCCATCCAAAGTGTTATAAGAGATCCAAATAGGCCCTAAATAAAAGCACACAGGTTTCCTACTGATAAAGATGAATGGGGCTCGCGATCAGGGCTTGTTGTTGTGTCACCTGGTTCATTCAGGAGCAGTGGAGTGTGCCATCATCTGCCTCCCCGCACACACACACACACACTACACCTGCAGGCTGTGGAGGGGCGTGTCTGTTTGTGCTGCTGGCCAACCATCTGTGCCAAGTCTCTCCACACTGTTTGGAGCAGCCGACCCAGACGTTTGGCCGTGTTGGAAGGAGCTTCCCAGCACCCGAGTAATGAATGGGTCCGAGACAGTGCATGTGGTAAAAGCTTATGTAATCCAGCCTGATCTCTGCTCTAATATCATGCACATGTTTTGTTAACACAGGCAAAACTGAACCAAGCCACTTCTCATTAATGTCCGCTATAAAGTCTTAAGGTTTGAATTTAACAACAACCATTGAGGAACGCAGTGATTTAAGGAAGGAGAAAGTGCGATGAACTAATATTATTTTTTCCCAGCCAACAGGCAAACAACTGTAGCAGACGATAGTTACTGTAAGTCCTGAAGCCCTGTGTATATTTGAACGATTCCTCCCACCTCCTCTTGCCCCTCTCTCTCCCGCTGGATGAAAAAGGCTGACTGAGAACAAGGGATTGGCTCCGGATAGATCAAACATTCTGTGGTCTTTGTGTGTACATACTGGCAGCCGCTAAGTGTTGGAGTGTGTGTGAAGAGCAGTTAAAAAGTAACTCCTCCGTGCAGGTGTTCACATCTAATGACCTCAGCCAGCTTTGGAGCAGTGGGTAACAGCTTCCTGCAGAGGCAGAGGCGGGCGAGGCCAAACAGCCCCAGACAGACAGGCGGACAAATCAAAGCCTCAAGAACAAGAAGAGGAATTACCATAAGAAAGCGTCAGAGCGGATGAGGCATGTAGAGGACGTGTTCAGAGACCAGCGCCTTGTACCTTATGTACGTGTCACAAAGTGCTAAATCACTCAGATCACTCACTGCCACATTCTTTGGGGCGCAGAAGACACACACATTTCTCAGTTCATTCCGAAATAAGGACTAACGCACTGTGACAGAACAAATCCAAAAGTCATATATTTATAAGCGTTGTTAATGTTAATATAATGGAATGCGGACATGAAAGGTATTCCAGGTAGAAGTCAATTATTACCAAATTGTTTTTGTTGTCTGTATTACACTAAATGGGCATTTTTCCTGAAACAAGACAAGAACATTTTGTCCCTTTAAATTACTTTTAAACCAGCAGCACGTATGGTTAAGCCACTACGAGCATGCCAACTTTTGCCTCTTGACTACAAAGCCATATGGTGACCACAAGCCAGCTCCACACTCCTCCATAATCACATCCAGAAAGTGGAAACTTGGATTTGGCCTTCAGTGCACCGCTTCAGAATGCATACATTACAGCTGGAGCTTTTAAGTTTAGCAAAGTAAGGATATGTCCAGTCAGTACAGTGTAAACAAGACTCCTTCCCCCCTTTTACTTTGGCTCGTAAAGTCACTGGGGTTACCGGAGTGGGGGGCTCAAATGGACCCAGGTCATAAGTGTTTGGCACACTAACTGTCTGGGAATTTGATGCTACGACCTCCCGGGTACGTGGACTCACACTGCTCTGCTAATAAGTAAACAATGGAATTATGTAGCCAAATACACATCTATTGAAGTTCTGAATATCAACCAGAGTATGAAGCATCCTCAGTTAGCTACAAGTGTCTCAGTGGGTTAATATTTTGCCTGGCAGCTCGTGGAATGTAGCTCGGTCAGTCAGCTGCGACCTCCTCTTGCAGAAAGTCCCTAATATTCCCTGGGCTAAAGCTGTGTCAAAGGGTCTAAAGGTGAGCTATTAATTATTTACAAGGAAATTGCACGTACTGAAGTGGAATATTGGGTGTTCTGCCTATTGGGGAAACTGCTAAAAGAGTTGTTCAAAGCTTTTCTGCACTTTAGTTTTAATATCACATAAACATGGAGAGGTTGAAAGAGATGCAAAACAGTTAAAGTACCGGTTCTAAGTACACTTTGAGGTAAATAGCACAAGAGTTATTTTATCATGTTTTGTTGATGTTACAAGAACATGGTTTAAATTATGAGACAAATTAAGAATCTATTCAGTTGCTTTTTGACCGTAATTCTCCGTAAGTAAACTCCTTCCACCACCTAAAGTCTGTGTTTTTCTTTTGATCCAACATTTATCATTGTCAAATTCCAGATGCATGCAATGGTAGCATCAGTTCTGCATTTGTCCACTTCCCTCGCTAAACAGAAGGCCAGTGTTTTGACAGTTTGAGGTAAAGCAAACAGACGGGGCCATAAATGCCTCTGTGTCCCGACAGCGGGTGCGATAAGCCCGGTCTAATGCACTGCGCGAATGAAAAAAGCTGGATCTCCTCAAACCGGGGAACATGTTACTGAGAATTTGACCCCGGCACTCACTCAATAGCACGTCTCTCTTCCCTCGTCTTGCATCCTCCCCTCCCACACAGAGGCTGAATCACAATGACTGGAGCAACAGATGGCTGTCAACTCACCCCTCCGCTCGTCCAGCCAAAGCACCACATCTTCTGGCCCAGCTGTCACTAGGGGCCCCTGTGGCTAAAGGGACTGCCCTGGACAGAGCGTGGGGCAGCTGCTGCACTCAGCCAAGTCCAGGCATAAAGAAACAAACAGTCAAAGCTTCCACTACTACTACTGCTACTACTACTCATGTACAAACCAGCCTTTGCGATGTCTCTGATTCATCTGCGTGTATGTATGTATGTATGTATCTGGTTTCACTTTGAGAGCCTACCAGCCTGCTTCCCATTATGCTGTTTTCTATAGTGAGTATTTTTGTCTTTCAGATGTGAACAGCAGTAGGGCTGTGGGCCGCTGAATCATCTCTCCTCCTGACAAAGAGGGATAGTAACAGGCACTTAACTACAGGCTACCACAAAAGGAAACAGACGAGATACCAACGCCAATGGGACGAGAGGAAGCCATTCATTTTATAGCACAATAAATGCATTGTAATGAAATATTATTGTTCTTCTTAAATTCTCTCATCTCAAACCAGTGGAAAGAGCAGAACCTGTTTTTTCAGCAATAGTATTCCTAATGTTCAGACATGCTGTATAGTAGATATATTAATTTAATCTTGTGATACCTAAAGGTGAGGTCAGTCACTTCAGTTGTATTTCAATATGATAAAACAATGCATATTTTCACCATGAAGTAACACATACAGTAAGTATTTTTCCAAAACAATATACTCTAGTTAACCATCCCTAATAAGAATTGCTGGAGGAGAATATTTAGACCAATGGCAAAAGCCTGCGTCTGTGTATCAAGGATTTAAATGAATTTCGCCCAATAAGGAAGCAGTACGGGTGAGAATGGGCGGGTCTAACCAGTGCTTGCCTTAGAAATAAAGTCTCTCTCTCCACATTTTTAAAGGCAGCTGACATTCACTTAAATATACAAATACAATATTATGTACAGTGGCTAATACGTCACACTATAACAACTTACCTTACCATATTCAAAACATATTTAAGTAGTCACTTTAGATACATTTTCTATTTCATGCTGTTCTTCCAAAATGGCTCACAGATGCTCCCAGGATAAAAGCAGAACCAACAACTGTATCAATCTGCTACAATCAAAACAAATGTAGTTTACCATCTATCATCCTCCACTTGAATTCCTATTGACTGGAACTTTGACTGCTCCTGCTCCTGCTCCTCAGCGGCCTGCCCTTCTTCCTCGGGGTCCACCTGACACATAAAACATAATTGGATTTACTGTAATGACATAGATGTGGTTGAAACACCAATATACTGTACTGTATGTATTATTGTCAAGTTTGCTATTTGTCAGACTGTACTTTCATCCACTTTTTGTCCCACTCACCTGTATCCCTATGGAGAGGCACTTCCGCATTGCTTCCCTTTGCGCCTTGGTTTCCGCGGTGACCGAGGTGGTGGCTGTGGCAGTGATAGTGATGCTGTTGGTCACGTGTTGGCTAGCCGGGCCGTGCACCTGTGCGTTAGCCGCTTCTATGGCTGCGGTCAGGGCCTTCATGCTGTCGATGCTCTCGGTGGAGTTGGACAGGCCCGGTTGGGAGCTGATGCCCGCCCTGGCGCTCCCCGAGCCCCCGTCCATGTACGCGTCCTGGGCCGATTCGGTGCTGCTCTGAGCGGTGATGGAGATGAAGGGCTTGGATGGGGTGGTCCGCGGAGGGACTGGGGGAGGCGTCTTCTTGTATGTGGTGATGCATGATGACACTGGAGGGAGAGTGACAAGTTAACGTGGTATTGTTGTTGACCAATTATGAAACAAATTAGAATAGAATCAACAGGCTGCGTTCACGGTGAAAAAGATAATGTCCAAATCTTTTCGCAGATGATTCTTTTATAGTGACTACATTCAAAAAGCTGTCAAATTATTCTATTGTCTGAAAGTCCTTCCTAGTACTGACCATCCCCATGCATAATATTTTCTGAATATCGTTACCACTTCTTGAAAACTTAGAAGATAGTGACATGTGCTGACAAAGAAAATGTGGAACTTTGTCTCAGTTTTGGATCTTTCTGGGAATAACAGAAGAATCATCAATAATAGAGGTCTGAATTGGTAATGTTTCCATAGCTACCTAGGAAACTTCTAACTAATTCTCCACTACACTTGTCTACTATAAGCTCTTTGAAATTTTGTAATGATGGTCGACCCTGCTTGGATTCTTGTCAAATATCTTGTTAAAAAGACTGTAATTTCTCCTGTTGTGTTTCCATGGGCAGACTCAGCATGACCAATCGTTGCCTGATAATGTGCACAGTGCAGGAAAGATATTGATACAACCTGATGTGAAAATCACAGGCTACAATAAACAGTGTTGTTAATTATAATGATTATGTCACAGAAATAACTGAACCTCAATGAAAACCTCTGTGAAGATAATTAGGAGTATATTTAAAGCCAACTGCAAAAAAAAAAAAATCAAACAATGTCCGTTATCATTTAACCGAAAACAAATGTATAAATTTGAGCAAACCTATTGACAACTGAGGTGTTGTACAGATGCATTACTGTCTCCACACACAGTGGAAACAAAGTGGCCAGAAGATTAGGGCTAATTTTAACGAATCAAAGCCTTGTCTTGTAATAGGATTAGTATTTCAGCCACTTGACCTACTGATCTAGATGAAGCCATCTACAACTACACAGCGACTATAAACATACTCATTTTCCTGCAGTAAAATTAGTCGAGGGCCCCCTGCAATTTGCTTGTATACTGGACTCAAAAATATCTTTGGCCACTGGATTGTAGTTCCTGCATGCCTCCTAAATTCTCGATATAATGAACAACTTAACAGGCTTCTGGCCAGGCTAAAGTTAGAAACAAAAACAACTAGCTCTTAACTACATTACGCCTTGGAATCTTGGCGGCGGCGTCAAAACTAGGTCGCTTTGAGTGCAATGCGGAAAGAAGTAGGGCAGCGTGTTTCCTGGATCTCTTTAATCCCAGCAAAAGACAAACATCCTACCGTTGTCAGGATGGCTGCACGGTGTGTGGCATTGGGAGGCAGTAGGCGGATGCACCACACCCTTTTGAGGGAGCCATGTCTACAGTGTAACTGTGGGATTGTGTTTACTTTGCACCTCGCGATCTCAGTGACAGCTCCATACACACTGGAGGTAAAGTGAGGTCTGACTTCATGCTGTCGGAGTCATCCACAGTGAATCTACTCTACGCCCCTCCCTCGCCCCCCTCCTCCCCCCTCCTCCTCTGAGGCTGTGGGATGATGACAGCAGAGAATCTCCGTCAGGTTTTGACAAGATGGAAAGTTCAGACGCAGGATGACTTTTATGTCTAAAGGATGAGATCACACAATGTTTAACGCTGGTAAGAAGAGCCACATGAAAGGATGTGAATAATGGCAAGCTGCTTCCTGCAACTGCAATAGTCATCATCAAATACTGCAAATCCGGGGAATAAAGCAGAGTTACTGGAACGTACTCAAAATTAACTTCAAAACATATGTGATTGGAGGACTTAGAGCAGAGAGGGTGGATATGAGCTATTCATAACATACTGTCTGTTCAACTTAAGTTTTTCTGTTTACTTGGGTCGGAGCCCAAAAAGCTTTTGCTTCGTCCAACCTCTTTTCAAACTATACTTTTCAAATCAAACGTCTGTATCTTGTTTGTTTGTTGTTCTGCTGTATGAGAAATATAAGTTTGAAATAAGCACTTACTTACTTACATGACATGAAGCTTTATAGAGGTTTAGGGTCGCAATTAACAAAACTCTGATAATCAATTAGTTAGTTTTGATCATTCGATTAGTTGACCAAAACATGACTAAAGCGATGTCACTCAAGAACTTTAACAGCACAGAACATAAATGGTAGTTTGATTAGAAATACGTTTTAAAGCGTGTGTCATTATTTGGTATTTATAGCTCTGTCTGAGTCATAAAAGCTCTTCTCAACATGTTTAACTCAAAGTTTAAAAATGTATTATTAAGTTAGATTAAATTACTTTGTACAGCCCAAAAAGTTTATAAGTTAATGAAAAAAGTCATATTTCCTTGATTGCGCTCAAATCACTCACTCAAGAGGAAAACAAAAGAAGACGGATAGTATGAGTGACAGGGAAAGCATGTGTCTTCATCATCACGCGTCTTCATCATATGCAGTGTGGGGGCCCCCCAGGGAACTGTCCTCGCGCCGTTCCTCTTCACCCGCTACACTGCGGACTTCAGACACAACACGGACGGTTGTGTATACAGGACTTTGTGGACTGGTGTCAACGGAACCACCTCCTCATCAACGCGGGGAAGACCAAGGAGATGGTGGTGGATTTCCGCAGACGTCACTCTGCCGCTCCAGCTCCAGTGAACATCCAGGGAAAGGACATCGAGAGAGTGGACTCTTACAAGTACCTGGGTGTTCATCTTAACCACAAACTGGACTGGACTCATAACACAGACGCCCTCTTCAAGAAGGGCCAGAGTCGCCTCTACCTGCTGAGGAGGCTTAGGTCTTTTGGAGTGCAGGGGCCACTCCTGAAGACCTTCTATGACTCTGTGGTGGCATCAGCCATCTTGTACGGTGTGGTCTGCTGGAACAGCAGCATCACAGAGAGGGACAGGAAGAAGCTGGACAAGGTCATCAGGAAGTCCAGCTCAGTCCTGGGCTGTTCCCTGGACACAGTGCAGCAGGTGGGGGACAGGAGGGTCCTGAGCAAACTAACATCTATGCTGGACCATGACTGTCACACCCTGCAGGACACTCTCTCTGCTCTGGAGAGCAGCTTCAGTGACAGACTAATTCACCCTCGCTGTGTGAAGGAGAGGTTCCGTAGGTCTTGCTGAGAAAACTGCTGAGCTTGTAAATTTCATTCATCTGTAAATTCTTAAATCATGTGCAATGTGCAATACTGCAACTTCAGAATGTCACAGAACAATGTCACTTTACCTCATGTCACTTTACTTATATACTTTTTATCCTGCACTATTTAACTGTACAGTATATAACTGCACTACTACATATATATTTTTTGACTGGTATTGAAGCATTTTCAGCATCTACAGCTAGTTATGTTAGTTAAGAAACATAGCTACTACTTATTTGTATATAGTGTGTGTGCTCCCTGTGTGCTCTTACTACTGTCCTATATGTGCGATGCAACATCGAAATGTCCCCACTGTGGGACGAATAAAGGAATTCTTATCTAATCTTATTTTAACTTCACATTGCCCACTAAGGTGTTGCTTGGTAATTTGTTGTGGGATTCTCCAAAAAACAAATAATTGAAACGTAAAGAATGGACCATGAAAGGTTAGCGAGTACAGAGCCAGAGGAACACACACATGTATTAAAGACTGGGAGAGAGGGCGAGGTCCCGGCCTATCAGAGGAGGTTCAAAGGATCGAATGTCAACCCTTTCAAGGCTTCTATCCCCTGAAGTCATCTAAAAGTCACTGAGTGTGTACGTGCCCAAAACCAGAGACTGCGAGTGTCTGTTTGCGCGCATTCCCCCAAGTCCCAGAACACGGGGTTTTCATCCGCTCAATAAAGCTACATATGAAACAGGAGACGCAGAGCCGGGTCCCACCTAGCTGTCACCGAGAAGACTCCAAGTAGGTTTTGAATGCCGAGACAGGTTAAGTAAACACATCAGCGGTCCGAACATGCCTATGCGCACACACAGGCAGGCGAAGGGTCACGCAAATAACATTGACACAAGCCAGTGCCGTGATCCCACCTCTCCACATCAATGCACACCACAGACTTCCTGCCACCGATATGTGCCGCATCAATCAGGCTGCTGCTGACACTGAAGCAGCCCATCTTTCAGTCATTCCCGGATTTCAAATTTTTTACTATCGAATCAGAATATTAGTGAGATCTGTTGAGAACGTGGAGTGTGTGTTACAGAGTATCCATAGAGAAGTAATAAAACCAGGAGCTCACATGGCAGCGTGAGACACATCAGCGCCCGAGACCTCCCACACAGACAGTCAAGGACGCAGTGTTTGACAGAAGCAAGAATGTGACGCAGATTCATCAGGCTGTTCAGAGGGAATGAGAAGTGCTGTTCAACAGACACTCATGATCATCACACACTGAAACAACAACGGAGCACACAACAAACTTAGAACAAGTATTTCTAAATGGCAGACTGAGGCAAACGCATTGAGGTATAAAGTATATAGGAACCTCATTGTGAATAAAAACTGCGGTGGCCAAATCCCCCTTTTGACAAATACTTCAGCCCCATGCTGACAGGTCGGTGTGAATAGCTGTTCATCTGACTGAGCACTCCCCCGACCTCTGCGGCTGATAAAATCAAAGAAAGGCCACTGCCCTCCCCCAAGACCATTTCATTCATTTCTTCAGCCTTTCAAACAAAAACAGAGCTGCTGCCTACAGCCCAGATCTGTGCTTGTCCTGTTTGTGTGTGCGCCTGCATAGGTGTGTTCTGTTTCCTTTATTTAACCACATGTTCATGCCCTAGACAGTCTGAAGGCAGGCAGCTGCTTACTAATCTCAAATCTGTGTGTCTGTGCGATAGGCCACTTCAAAGAGTAGATGTTCTGACTTAGAAGAGGGCCAACGGGCTCCCCCGCGCGGGGGCCAAGGGCACGTCGAGCAGTGTCCAAACAAACCCAGAGAGCAGAGAGGGCGGGGCATGGAGCACTGACAGCAAAGCCCAGCTCTGTGTTTGGGATGAGCCTCTGCCAAAGGAGAGGGAGCAGAGAGCAGCCCGTCTGCCGCTT